CAACAATGATGGGAGAGAACTAGAAAGTAAAATTCATTAAATATTGGTTTGTGTTTTTTTATTTCAGATGAGTGGTGAGTTCCAAGTCCCATCTCCTCTGGTCCCGACTCGCGAAAACTACTTCGTACGGTACTGCAAACATCACTCGGACGGTACTTGGGCAGTTGTCGATGTCTCATTGGACAACCTAAGACCAACCTCGATCGCCAGGTGTCGCCGTCGGCCATCCGGTTGTCTCATCCAAGAGCTTCCGAATGGCTACTCAAAGGTATGTAAATAGATAGATAGCTAAATATTCCCCAAAAGAAAAAAAAAATGTGTGTGTGTTTACATCTTTTACTATAACTTTTTGACTATGTTGTTGGCTAGGTAACATGGGTCGAGCATGTCGAAATAGACGATCGGGCCGTGCACACCATTTACAAGGCACTCGTCAATTCGGGCCTTGCCTTCGGGGCCCGCCGTTGGGTTGCCACCCTCGATCGACAATGCGAACGTCTAGCGAGCCTAATGGCTAACAACATTGCAGCAGGGGATATAGGCGGTAGTTAAATTATTTGCATCATAATGTCTTTTCGAAAAAATCATTAATAAATTATGAATAAATTGCGATTTTAATTTTGTATGTTTCACTACCTTAACTTTTACGTCCTCTTCAAATTGCTTTTCTGATTTCCGTCCTATATGTTTGCAAGAATGTTACAAAAAGGTCTCCGATCATAAATAAGGGACNTTTTGTAACCTTTTTGCAAATATAAAGGACGAAAAAAAAAAACAATTTGAAAGAGATGGAAAAGTTAAGATAGTAAAACATTCAGGACTAAAATTGCAATTCAGTTATAATTTATTATTCACGAAAATTTATTCCGCACGGTACTTGAAATTGTGGCAGTCATATCGTCCCCCGAGGGCAGGAAGAGCATGCTGAAGCTAGCCGAGAGAATGGTAATGAGCTTTTGCACGGGAGTCGGGGCCTCGACTGCCCACACGTGGACAACGCTCTCGGGAAGTGGGGCAGACGATGTTCGTGTCATGACTAGAAAAAGCATGGATGATCCAGGCCGGCCGCCCGGGATTGTACTAAGTGCCGCAACTTCGTTCTGGCTGCCCGTCCCACCTAAGAGAGTGTTCGACTTTCTGAGGGACGAGAATTCGAGAAGTGAGGTACTAATTCGTGCTTCTTCATGTTTTTTCGAATCGAAATCGCAAATATATGTTTTACATGACTTTTTTTAATCTTGTACGGCGTGAAGTGGGACATTCTTTCGAACGGCGGACTCGTTCAAGAAATGGCCCACATTGCCAACGGCCGTGATCCGGGGAACTCTGTCTCTTTACTCCGTGTCAACGTAAGCTTTTCGTGACAGTTAGTTCATAATATAAACGTAAAATATATAACTAACAAACAAAAACTGTTGAATAATTATACAATGCAGAGTCAGAATTCGAGCCAGAGCAATATGCTGATACTTCAAGAGAGCAGCACGGACTCAACAGGCTCGTACGTCATATACGCTCCCGTTGATATTGTGGCAATGAACGTTGTCTTGAGTGGTGGCGACCCGGATTATGTGGCCCTTTTGCCATCCGGGTTTGCTATACTTCCTGATGGGCCCAATAGCCCGACAGGCCCAAACCCAGAGGTTGGGTCGGGCGGGTCTTTGTTGACTGTGGCATTCCAAATATTGGTCGACTCTGTTCCCACGGCCAAACTCTCTTTGGGTTCGGTGGCGACTGTCAATAGCCTAATCAAGTGCACTGTCGAGCGGATCAAAGGTGCCGTCTTGTGTGACGGTTCTTGACCTAAAAAAATATTATATATTTATCATCATGGTAAGCTACAAATTTTAAATTTAGTATCTCAAGTTTTGGGCAATGACTACAGTCTTGTCACGGAATCATTCCGTCAGTATGTTTTACCTATACTAATCTACATGTATATCTAAATGCTAATAATAACCACGAAATGATTCAGTGAGGGGATTGTAGTTATTTTCCAAGTTTTGTATTTAAGATTTGAAATACATACAACTATCATCATATCACATTATGCTTTTTCGATTATGTCGAANTGATGTTTTGCAGGGGCCGAAAGAAGGTTGAATCGGGAAATGTAAAGAAGGATTTGTTTACGATAGGATGGTCGAAAGAAACGGGAGAAGTAGTCAAGAACGCACCTTGCGCGCGCCCTTTTCCTTTGCGATGTTCATCTGTGGTTAGAATAAGAGAAATCTTATAACTTCCATAGACATTCAACACAAAGGCGAAGGGTTAGTAATAGGTTCGGGTATTGACTCTTGCCTATATTATTGTGAGGAACAAGTAAACAAAAGACCTTATTTTGTTTGTTGATGAATTGTAATATGGGATAAGCCTATATGTATGTTTTTGTTTGTTTTTGCACCAGAGTTTAACGTCTTAGCATTGTTGGTTAAGCACTGATTTGCTACTTTTGTTATTTTTGGAAGACGGTAGTTTTTGAAGTGATTTATAGATTGTGGATCCTCTTGCTTCTTTCTCATCAATTAATTGCTTCTTTGGTAGTAGTTTGTCAAACATTAAGGTGCATTTGGTCAAAAACATAGAAACTTTAACGACGATTTATACGAATTTCAAGATATCATATGATGAAATTGAAGATATATACTGAATAGACCGAGTTGAAAATTTAAAAATGATATATGATTAGTTGAAATCCACCATCAACAGCGTTGCTGCAGGTAAATGGCAGACAGCAACAACAGTTTATTTTTAACGATTTTGGACGAAAACTTAATAAATTTGTAAACGTTAGAACAAAAATTGATTGAATTGAAACATGGAATACTAACCCAATTCACTGTTTCTAATCAATTGGGACTATAACTGGATGAAAATAGTAACTGCAGTCCATATAATGAATTATTTTCTGAAACTCTTGTGATGTCATTCTTACCAAGCAAATATTATTTATTTATTGTGATCAACCAAAAGAGGGAGAGTGGTTGGAAAATAAATATTTTAAGTTATTACAATGCGTGTGTGACAGTGCTCTGATTTTTGCATTACCTTTCAGTGGACGACCCCATAAAAATTCATTCAATGGGAAGATGAAATCGTGTTTGTAGTTTGACGCTTTTCACGCCGTGCTTGCCTAAGTCCGGGTAGAGCAAAGCCTGGATGAAATTAACAGCTGCGATGCAAGGGCCCATAATTGTAAGTCGGGCCTGACAAGATGAGAACCCATAATTTATTTTGTTTCGCACTTTTTTTTGGATTTTAATTTACTTACTAGTATAGTGGCACAACAAACATGTAATATTAGTTGATTAAAGAATTATAAATTAAATACATGATTTATTTATAGTTTTCAAAATTGGACCGATTCGGACAGTCCTATGGGATGGACCAAGAATCGGTTTATTGACCTGTTCGGTTCACTTGAGTAAAAATGTTTGTTATCGGATGGACTAATAATCAATTTATGAAAAATGAAACCATAAAATCAGTACAAAA